ATAACGTTCTGACAAATTATTATGTGCGGTCAAACGACAAACATTATGTTTATTTTTTCCTATTTTGTTGTCTAATAAAAAGATAACTTATTTACAAATGAATTATTTAATTCGACAAAAAGAAAATATTGTGGCGTGTCACGGCATTTGGTATAATGTAGTGTTACATAATTATGAATTATTCATGATGTCACACATTTTCATTTTCATAAGCTAAAAAAGCAAAACCTCTTGCAGCTATTCCCGCGGAAAGACTTGAAAATAAGACAATTTGACGAGTATCTAAGTCAAAAACTATATTTTAACTATAATACTTTTCCTTGGTTGTAAATAAATGTCCTAAGATAGCAATGCTTTTGAATTGAAAGTTTATTTTTAATAGCCAATTTAAAAATTACGGGCGCGTAAAGTCACTTTAACGTTAATTTACTCGGCTCAGAAACTTGGTAAAGTGCGCTGACCAGGAAAATTCGTAATTCCAGTTCAACGGTTTGAACCATATTGTAAATCTAAAGTTACAAATTAATTTTAACCCCCATCCAGCCGCGGGTAATGACCCCGCCGTAGCGAAACGAGAACGCTACCTGTTTCGCGGAGTTAATTCCCTACCAACTCCCTGGCCTGCCCAATTTACAGGTAATTAAAGCGATTATTTCACTTGAAATAAGACAAAAGCTCAAAGGGTGCTGATTCTGCTTGTTCTAGCACTAATAGAACCGTGCTCTATCTCTCCGTCTCTCAAAGCGCACTAATTTATTCTCCAGCCCTCTCCACTTCGCCACCCCTTGGGGACCCACAAAACCCCTCTTACAAAAATTAAACCGAACCCCTCCCCTTTTAACTGCGGAATTATATTAAACACCCTGACGGGCAATCACCCGTAATTAATTGCCGGGGAGAGTCTTAAGTTAATAACCACCCTGGTGACGATTGGTAAATCGGAAAAGACGTCGGCATAAGTTGTCTTATACGCAATGGTGGTTATTTCGAGAAAGGGAGGATTATCCGATTCAGCTTATTCTCAAATCAGTTTAAATCAGAATTCAATTCGACAAATGAATATCAAGTGCAGAAAGACAGATTCTTTTCTGCTACCCGATTGCCTCTTTTTCCTTATCATCGAAGTCTAAGTATTTTTTTAAAAACCTTTTAAGTATATTATTACAAAAACATAACCAAGCAAGAAAAACGTCCTAAACAATTAATAATATTTAATTGCCTGCTATCAATATGAAGCATTAATGTCGATGAATAGACAGACCAAAACGAATTTGCTCTGATAAGATTTGAAAATTATCTAAGAATTCAGTTTAAAATGGAAAAAAAATTGATTTATATAGGTCCTTTTGAAGAACAACGGAAATTTGCGTTGTGCGGCAATCAGGGATGATAAATCTTCTGACAATGAACCAGAGGTGGTAGGCTAAATATAATCAAGCATTGGCTTTTGGATTTGGATTTGTATAAACTCAAATCTGCACATGCATGTACATACATGAAAAGAGCCTATCAATTCTGGCAGTTTACCGACAATTCCAGCTATGTAATTTACAATAAATTACCGGCAGCGCTAAAAAATCACCCATCTCGGGTGTTGGCAGTCCGGGGTAGAATTAGGTCTGGTCCAGCCAGTGAGGTTGGATCCAGGGCCATCAACAGCTAGGTCATTTCAGCATCCAGTTCCAATCCAAAACCATTCACACTCTCATAGATTCCGCCTTATGTACATACCATTGCTTAAACAGAGTGTTGGTGTACTCGATTCTTCCATCAAATTTTACACCTATTGATAATTTAAATATCTTGAGATGCAGTCAGGTGTGATGTATGTTACAAAAACATTTTCTTTATAAAAACCTTTTATCCATTGTCGGTCCCTTTCACCACAAAAAAGCCGACTCGTCATAGAAAAATAAATAAATATATTTCTATGCCTACCTCCTTCCACAATCCTTCAAATTCAAACATATATAAACAAAAAACATTAAAATCTCACTAATTCTCTCAACACGAAACACAACATTGACACACAGAAAACACATACGTTGACTGAGTAAAATACTTTGATTAAACCTAAAAGTTCTGTATTGTGAGTATCATTTTATAAATTCATATTCATATCTTACATGGATTTGTATAATTTAAACAATGTTCATAAATCTCAGGCCCTGAAGTTGATCTCAAAAAAGATCGAAACGTTGGCATGATAAAGAAAATGTTTTTCTAAACCTAATAACACCAGACCGGACCTCATGATCTTAAAATAATCATTAATTAACGGTCTTTAAATATTACACATTTACATTTACATCTATTGTATAACTAACCTCACTGAGGGTGGATGTGGTACTCAGTATTCCACCATCAACCTTGTTACATTACACATTCACGTCAATAAATACATCCACTCTCGGTCCCTTACACCACAAAGAAGCCGACTCCTCATAGAAAAATAAATAAATATATTTCTATCCTTACCTCCTTCCCCAATTCTTCAAATTCAAACATATATAAACAAAAAACATTAAAATATCACTAACACTCTCTACATACATTACAAAACTATCTGAACTAAATACCATAAAACATCCCTGAATTCGCTTTAATTATTTAATTTATAATGTCTATTTTAACTAACTAATCGATATATTAAGCATATATGCCGCAATAAATTTGATAGTAGAAAAAGTACATTTTTAAAACCCGTAGTTTTATAAATCTTTGGACAAACCGTATACAGCTGCCTTTTTAATAAACCCTATTAAAACTGTTAGACGTTTATACTTTTAAACGCACTCCTTCCCACTAGTTTAATTTAAACTGTGTCACTTCGAATATTTATTAATAGGTAGAAACTGAAATTTATCAGCCTGTTTGATTTACGCGTCGTTGTGCTGATTGGAACAGTTTTTAATATTTATTTGTCCCTCGGAGTAAATTAATCAATGCTTTATTAAAAATCACTTATTCAACCCCGGTGCGGCTATAAATATTAAAAGAGCTATTAACTGAAATACGCTTGTTAACGATTGTAACAAATTCATATAAATCTGACATAGATTAGGGCGAGTAATAACCGTCTAGGATAAAAGCGATTTAGTTTAGTATAACAATTCCAAATCGACAAAACTGTTATCACGCCTGTCAAAACCTGTTTTAATTAAGAAAAACATGTGTTGTGTGCAGTGACACTCTTCAAACGAATAAATTAATGAAGTATATAAATCCTTAATGGAGGAATCCGTAATATTAAAACAAGAAGAGACGATTTATAACGAAAATAACATTTTATTATAATAGAAAATTAATTGTGTTAAAATAACAAAACCGGCGAGATTTTAGGCTGGCAAAAACATCTTTCAGTACATAAATATTGATATTGTGTGTCGGTGCTGGACCACATGAAAATTCGCACTGCTTTGGAAATGTCGGCACAAGAGGTAGAACACAAGTGATTAAAGAGGGGTCATCCTCCCCCAATTAAGAATAGAAATTAATTAGACGGTTAAATTAGGAAGGAATGCCACCCGATATGGCGATTAAATTGACTAAGCTGTTCGTAGCTCTCGTAGCCCATCTTCGGCGGCTAGACGGATAAGAACTGATTGATAGAAATGATAAACGGTGGAGTGAGTATGTTGTTTCATCTTTTTTTTAATGATAGTCCCTATTCGCAGTTTCTTGTTATCGATGATCCAGATTTCAAGCTTACGTTCCAATGAGAAGCTGGTTTTTAATGCCACTCAATTTTGAAAGTGCAAAAAGCGGGGATTATAACAACTAAATACTATACTAATTTAATAGATACAGTAAGCAAATAATTATAAATTAGTGATTAATTTGTATGTCTTTATGAATAAAAATTAAAATCTATACATTAATAATAGATTAGTAAATTAATGATAAAATTAATTAATAAGAATTATAATAATTGCCTTGATTAATTTCTATGTCAAATATTATTTAGGTACATATTTAAAATAGGAGGTAAATCAAAATTTACTAAATTATTAATGCATTTATCTTATATGATCATGAAGTAAATCATGATTATGTATGATGGAGTAAATCAAAATCTATTATATTATTAATGCATTTATTTTAATTATGATAGGATATATAATGCATATCTTTGTATGATAATTGTATTAATAATATAATAAATTTGGATTTATCCCATCACATATAATCATGATTTACCTCATGGTTATATAAGATAAATACATTAATTATATATCTTATCATAAATAAGATGCATTAATATTATAGTAGATTTTGATTTACCTCCTATTTTAAGTATGCACCTAAATAATACTTGACGTTCAAATTAATCAAGATAATTGATATAATTTTTATTATTTAATTTTATCATTAATTAACTAATCTATTATTAATGTATATATATTTTGATTTACATCCTATTTGAAATATGCACCTAAATAATACTTGACGTACAAATTAATTAAGGTAATTAATATAATTTTATCATTAATTATTAATCTATTATTAATGTATATATTTTAATTTTTATTTTTACTAATAAAAAGACATACAAATTAATCACTAATTTATAATAATTTTCTTATTCAGTAATTCAGTATTGCTGCACTGCAATGAAAATATGGTAAACTGATCGACACTGATCACTTCACTGCCTCATATTCTCGTTGGTTAACTTTTATATAATACTCGTTCAGGCTTCACGCCACCATCAAAATATGGTCAGTTCAGTTGAAATGACAAGAGGTTCGAGACGCCCAGAAAGGTTTTCATTTGTGTTGTCTTAGTATTTGCTACTTTTGGCACCAATTTTGAGCCTATAATGTATTTAATAAATAAAATCAATGTCATTAGAAAATTAGAGAAATGTATTAGAATCTTCATCAGTTGGGCGATATTTGGGGGATCGCGTTCAGGAAATTTTTAAAACCTTTCAGGACATGGCGTGACCCGAACTTTGCTTTGCCTAATTTTTGATGTTTAAAGTCTGTGTAACTCACCTGAACGTCCTTCGTGAACTGGTTGTTACAAAAGATGTGAACCGAGTTAAATTCTCTCACCCGGTCAAATTCGAATTTAATCTCAACCGGCTGGCCACCCCTCGTGTCGTTTCTCCAGCCAACCCAGCCTTGTCCTGCTGAAAAACAGCGTGTGAGACTGCGATATACGACAATTTAATTTTTCCAAACGATGATTTTACCTCTTTCGTTATCGTAATAGGTCATTTTGAAGTTCTCGTGGCCGATTTTACCGTCGGTGAGTTGTCCAAGGCCTCTCTTCAACTCGGCGTCCCAGTGGCCGTCATAGGTGGCGTCGAAAAACTCCCAGGCTGTTCCCCGTTTGTCCCCCTGCGGCATGGAATAGCTCACGATTCCATCTGAAAAATAAAATTCGTGGAAGAAAACATTAAATCATAATATGTAGATACTCTCCATCAACCGAGAGTCCCTCTACAACACTCTAATTTCTAATAATATCCCTCTTCCTACCTCAATATCCGTTATATTCTCTTTTACCCGCAATCCGAAAATAATTTCCTCTCTCTCTAAGCTCCATTCCCAAAATAATATAGTAATATAATACAACAAAAGTATACATTTCAAACTTCAAGTTTAGAGATTTGCCCAATATGCTAGACCATAAGGCAAAAAAAATTAGCCTAAAAAATTGACTTTTACACAAGTGGTTCTATTCAATGAAATATTATTAGCTTCATTAGCCAAAAATGCAATATAAGACCTAATGATTATTTGGAGATCGTGAAATGCAGTCTGGTGTGATGTAGGTTTTACAAAAACATTTTCTTTACCGGGCCAACGTTTCGATCTTTATTGAGATTATTTTCAGTGCCCTCTCAACACGACACACAAGAATGTCTACACAGACAACAAACACTTTGAGCCCTGAAGATGATCGCAATAAAGATCGAAACGTTAGCACAATTTTAAAAAATGTTTTTCTAAAACCTGCGTCACACCAGACCGCATTTCACGATCTCCAAATAATCATTACCTAATCGTCACTAAACACCACACATAAGACCTAATACCGGAAAAATTATATTTGCTCGTTTTTCGTTTTCTCACTCACTCACTCACTCTCTGTCTGTCTGTCTGTGTCTCTCTCTCTCTCTCTCTCTCTCTCTCTCTCTCTCTCTCTCTCTCTCTCACACACACACACACACACACACACACACACAAGTGCCTATTTATTTTTATAATTGATTGATGATGATATTTATTTTTACGATATCCCATCTCTGTAGTAATTATTTTTCTCTCTCTCTCTCTCTCTCTCTCTCTCTCTCTCTCTCTCTCTCTCTCTCTCTCTCTCTCTCTCTCTCTCTCTCTCTCTATTACATTTCCCTCTCTCTGCCTTTCTCTTTTCCGCCCACTCTATTTTTTCCTGGATTTATTCCTTTCTATTCTATCTGATTTTGGCCGTTTTCTTACACTCCCATATTTCCTTTACTGGTCTTCGGATTTTCTCCTATATTCGTTGTGTCTAACTTTGTTTCGATCGATAATTTTGTTTTTACAGCCACCTCTCCGTATTTTTATTACTTTTCTATCCATTCTTATTAGCGTGTTTATCGATCCTTACATCCGTGAATCTATAACCATTTATTTACCTGTGCACCTTTATATATAACAGATCTTTCTATCTATCTTATTTTATTCGTTACTTATCGACAACCTTATTTTATGTGAGTGTTTATCTCCATAACAGATTATTTTTCCTTTATTTAGCTGCCTTTCTATTTTCCAATTCAAATCGACTGACATACGTTTGCGGCATTTTTTATATAACTTTTTAAATTGTCTTATACAGTAGTGGCGTAAAGAATAATTTTTATATTTATTTTTATTAGGATTCGTGGTCCGCTTGACGAAATAAATTCTTTTCAATTAATTAATCTTTAATTAAGGTTTTGGTCGGGATAAAAATGTCAGTGTTACGAGAGGGATTCGAACCCACGACCTTCGGCTGAATACTCAGTTTTTTTGAAAAATGACAAAAAGGAGAGGTGGACAGTAAGTGTATAGAAGTCACGATAGCTCAGGTGGTAGAATAGCGGCGTATACTAGCCGAAGGTCGTGGGTTCGAATCCCGCTCGTGTATTGACTTTATTATCTCAACTAAAAACCTTAATTAATTGAAAGATAAATTGGTCAAGTGGACCACGAAAACTAGTTAACTACTAGGTAACTTTACTAGATGATTTTAACCCTGTATTATTTATACATCAATTAACAAGAAAATAATGTGATTTTTAAATCGCAAACAAACATACAGTTACAAAACGAACCTTAAGATTGACAAATCTGTAGCATTTTTAAAATTTATGTCTGTTACACTGTTTTGAAATCATTATCGTTAAATTTGATTTGATCCCCGAACCGATAGCGTGGCGAATACGAGAAAATGTATTTATCCTATTGCTTAGGCTTTTTGGCCTTTCATTAAACCGAATACAATTATTTGTGTTCGACCGTAAAATATGAAAATCATGGTAAAAAATGCAAATATCACTCACTTTTATGGAAAATTGTGTCTGCAAACAAATTAAACAATTCCTACAAGTTAATATTTGTAATTAAATTCAAGTTATGGTAGAAACAAGACGTGTAATATGTTAAATTAATGAAAAGAATCTGACTAGATGACTAGACATTCAGAAAGCTCTCTAGGTGGAGGAAATGAGTTTAACTACAACTAAACGGTTCCAAAATGAACCGAGCCTAGAGAGTAGGAACAAGCTGACGAACGGGAAAATATATGTTGGCAAATGGACAAAAACATTTTTTCTGATGGTTATATCCTGAAAAGCACGAGACATTTCGTAATTCTTTAAGCTGACCCAAGTACTGAAAAACCAGGGTAAACCGAAGGAATATCTCTACAGGCTTAAACTTTCGTATAACGAATTATGCGACTGCAGGGCAAAGAACCTCAAACAAGGGAGCGTCATACTGCACTGCGACCTGTATGAATATTCGAGAACACAGCTCATAAGATCAATAATAACTCATGGAGGAACCTAGCTTTCAACAATTCAGAAATGATTATATCTTAATGATTATTCGGAGATCGGGAAATGCGGTCTGGTGTGACGTAGGTTTTAGAAAGACAATTTCTTTATCGTGCCAACGTTTCGATCTTTATTGAGATCATCTTCAGGGCTCAAAGTGTTTGTTGTCTGTAGACATTCTTGTGTGTCGTGTTGAGAGAGCACTGAAAATAATCTCAATAAAGATAGAAACGTTGGCACGATAAAGAAAATGTTGGTTACATTTTTCTTTTTTTTGCCTTATGGTCTAGCAAATTGGCCAAATCTCTAAACTTGAAGTATGAAATGTATACTTTTGTTGTATTATATTACTATATTATTTTGGTATAGGAGCTTAGAGAGAGAGGAAATTATTCTGGGCCTGGGATTTAGAAACATTGTTAAAATTTAACAAATACATGTAGGATGTGGAAAAAATGAATTTCTTCAATGCTAGAAAATTTTAGATTCAATCAAAGTATTTGTACTCACTCAACGTGTGTGTTTTCTGTGTAGTCGTGTCAATGTTGTTTCGTGTTGAGAGTATTAATGAGATTTAAATGTTTATGTTTATATACGTTGGATTTTGAAGGGGTGGGTAAGTAAGTCGGGATAGAAAGACATTAATATGAGGAGTCGGTTTCGTTGAGGTGAAAGGAGCCGACAATGGGAAAAATGGGTAATGGTTCGGCCAGATTATCCCTTCAGGATTATATAGACAGGAATAATTAGGGAAAGTAAAGCCAAATTTCTGAAAATTAGACTATGAAGAAATGTTTGACGTGTGGAATGTGATGATTGTTTCATAGGATTATCCTGAAAGGATAATCTGGCCGAACAATGTTTGTAAATCCCAGGTCCTGAAGATGATCTCAGTAAAGATCGAACCCGTTGGCACGATAAAGAAAATGACTTTTTAAAACCTAAGTCAAACCAGACCGCATCTCACGATTTCCGAATAATCATCGACTAACGGTCACTAATCACCACACATTACATCTTAAAGTTAAAACTACCAGAGATTTTTTGTTAAAAAAACCGTATAGGTGATGTTTATATGTGGAACTAATATTGGAATTAAAATTTCGCAAAACAATAATCAATAGAACATTTTTCCTTGATTTTTTATTGAAATATTGAATCTGAATCTACTAAATCCTAATGTGTTATGTTTTGTTTCAGTAAAGAAATCCGATGCGACGCCATGTCCATATACGAACCCCGTAGGAAATAAGTAAACAAAGACAGGACGATGGAAATGGAAATGACAAATCCGTCAAATCCAATATTCCCTTTTCTTTATCTTTCCACCTCTATTCTATCCTCCGGCTTCAATTTAAACCAAAGTTGACATAACGGGATGGATGAAAGCTGCCGTTTGAAGCACCCGCCGACTCCGTCACGAAATTGCCGCCATGAAGAAATATGAGCAGACCCAGAATGCATTATTGAATGAACTCTTTCTGATTTGACATGAATGACGTAGAAACAGGCGAACGATACACAATGCCGCCTCGGTCGAGTCACTACGTGCGACAACTGTTTATGACGTCCGACCCGACGAACACAGGACTCAACCAATATTTGCAATTTTCCTTTTCTTTCCATTTGTACCTATTTAAAATTGTATAAAAAATTAGAATATGTTCCAATACTTTAATACTTAAATTTAAATATCAGTCAAAGTCTTAATTGCTATGAAAAAATCGAAGGGAAAAAATCAATAATGGCTTTGTACTAGAAGTAAAGAATCTTGAGTTGATTTTCACAATTGACTCTGCAGCGTGAAGGTTGAAACAAAATACTGTATTGACGATAACAACAAATTGCTGTTTTTATTTCCTCCGTGCCGGTTGGAATCGTGGATGTAATTGACGTTCCATGCAACTTTGAACTTAACTTGAACATCCACTCACCGGTTTTTCATGTACAACGGCCAAGAAGTCGGCAAAGAAATAAACTTAGAACAAATAACTGTCGTTAGTCGCTTACCATTCCAATAGCATCCATATATCTCCACCCTCATGCAGACAGTGCGACGGTGATAGCTGAACGGGTAGAACCTGATTTTGCTCGCCCATATCGGCGGATCCAGATCTCTCTTCGCTCCCAGATATGTATTCGTATTTCCGCCAATAACCTGAAAAATATAATGAATTAACTTTATTTTAAGGAAAAATCGGCGTGGAAAATGTTAACGTTTTTGCTTTGGAAATTGCATCAAGACGGTCGCCTTGCGAGGCAGAAACAATCCCCCCAACAAATCGTTATTTAGGACGTGACTCCACCACATTGAACTTTCCTCGAAGCTCGTAAAACAGTAGCTGTTTATACTGAGTCAGTTAAGCTTCGGCAAACAATTTGAAGATAAAGCTCATCGACCAGATTCAAGCTTGCTTCAGTCAAACAGCTGTTTCTGAACAAACATCTCGGGGCGTGATGCGGAAACTAGAAGGATTCATTAACAATTATGGGAGGCATCAAGACGGTGGCTAACACCGAACATCGGCTTTATGAATATTTCAACCGCATAGGTACAAATTTATGCAAACCGATGGAATCGATACGGGCCAGGATCTGGGATGGGAGTAGGACGAACTCATCCGGCGAATTAAATTGAAACTGTTTCAAACTGCGAGTGAACGAGTTTTCCTAATGAGTGCATAACCATGTTTTAAACTGCAAACGATTACGAAAAACAGTCGTGATTTGAAAGGTAGAAATGTTTGAAATTCAGGGTGGTTTAAATAATACTTAAATAAATAACTTCGTGGTTTATTCAAGTGAAAAAAATCATTAGAATTCTACCATGTATATATTTATTATTAAACCAGAAGTCTATAACATTTGCCCATCCATATTCAAAATTTTCGGTAAATGGTAAGCTGCTCTAAAATGAATATGGGATATTGTCAATTTTTTAATATTTCCTTTCCCTAACACATTTATTATAAATTGCATTAATATTTATTATTATGTTTTTAACTGAAAGAAAAGTTAATTAAGGGATTTTGAAAAATAACAAAATAAGTTTTCTTTCATTATTTTGTTTATTGGACACAATAATGTTTTTAAACAAATAATGCCATGTATAATGTTCTCTATTAGCTAAAACCTCTTTGCACCTGTTCGGCATACTGTTGTCACTAATTTTCATAAGGAATATCCGCCATAGATGTTGCAAAGCTGCAGTCACTTTCTGCAGGTCAACTCGCTGGAGGTGGTAATAGAAAAGCAACGCATCCCACATGTGCTCAATAGGATTGAGGCCTGGAGACAATGGTGGAATTGGTAGATGGGAAATTACGAGGATTTCTAAGCACTGATGATTTCTAAACAACTCTGTCTCTATGAGGTCTGGCAATGTCATCCAGAAATCGAAAATCACTGCCAATGTTATCCCTGGATTGAGGGATGTATTCTTAGATAAATACTTGGATAATTACTTGGCGAAGCAATGTCACTGCAGATTTTGTGTAGTCTTTCTCATTGAACCTTTGCAATAATCCGGTTATAAAATAAATAAACAAGGTGAACAATGAAAACTCCTTAGTGAAAACATAAAAAAGAAAAGTATGACAACTTTTGTTGTTTCAAGAAAGTCTGAGTTTTACAGGGGTTTGCATAATATGAAATATTTGTCAAATTCTAAAAACCGCACCAGAATAAACCGAAACGCACAGATGACAAGAGAGTATTGATTACATTTCTCTAACGTTCTTCAATTATGATAACCGATCCGGGATCACGCACATTTTCTGATGGATGGTGAGTCGGCCGGGCCCTTTGGACTTTCGTGCTGGCGTGATCCGACCAAATGAACCTCCGTAGTCCGTTACCTTCACAGATTGAATACCCACGGCCGAGCCTTTATAGAAATGAGATTGTAAAAAAAACGCCGTCCGACTTCCTTACGGCCGTTCTCATCCGGATCTGCGGGACTTACCGCCTAATGACTTCCACCTTTTTAGTCATTTCGATTATGAATTATGCATTCCGTATCGCACACTGCTCGGATTAGCAGGAATTTTTATTAAAATAAATCGAATATTCGAATACCTCCCCGATCGTTATATGAAATCTTAACTAAATTAAACGTTTATTTAATCCTACGATTTCGCCGGTTTAACGTGGCATTCCAGAATGAGATTGAATCAGTTTATTCTCGTTGATGTTTTACAGATTTACTTCAAAACTACGATCTCACGATAAATGCGAATAGTGCTAGAAAACCGCTTCAATTCACGAAGATGAAAAATTAGCCTCCCACGTTTATAATATTAAGGCGAATAACAACTGGTTGAGACCAAGACCGGTTATAAAAGATAATAGACCTCCTTAACTGTTATTGCGCTTCCATTTACATGTTTCCTTGTATCCCAGGGAATTGAGAAACGTGGTAGGGCGCCTGAAAAACAAGAAATTTCTTCTAAATAAGTTCAATGTAATATTTCGGTGAATATTTAAAAACAACCGCGTGGGTTTCAAATTACTTGAAGGGACCTCTCGAGCCGTCTTCCACCCACGCTGCTAATCTCGGTATTTTCGAGCTGGATTAATTTTTTTAAGAGCCTTAATAACAGGTTGAACGACTCATATTTCAGACAAAATACTTTGATTGAATTAAATGATGATTGAAATTAAAATCATTGATAGATATTTGATTAAATAAGCATGTGATATATTAATGGATGTATGTGAGTAGCCAAATGGCGGTAGGTGGGCAGATGGTTAACTACACACATGGAAATATTGATAAATGGATGGTAATAAAAGAGTAGACGTATGGTGAAACGAGAGAAATAAGCGATGAACGGAAGTATTAGTGTAAAAAAAATTTTCAATAAAACTCATACAAATTATGTAATTCAAAAATAATTACTGGCCCATCCCAATTAAAATTTTCAAATTTTCAAATTAGGGAGAAACGACAAATCTAATTAGTTATAGATGGTTAGGGATGGTTTGGGGTTCTTGGAAATTCTCGAAAGAGGGGAGAGATTAAGAAACAGATCATTATTCGATATTTTGCTCAGCCCGAAAAGTTCCTGCTGATTAAGTTTAATTAACTGTTAAGATTAGAAAATATTTAAAATTTGAGAGAAAAGGTTTTGAAAGGTGTGGTGATTAGTGACCGTTAATCGATAATTATTCAGAAATCGTGAGATGCGGTCTGGTGTGATGTAGGTTTCAGACAAACATTTTCTTTATCGTGCCAACGTTTCGATCTTTATTGAAATTCTTCAGGGCCTGAGATTTACAAACATTGTTTACATTTAACAAATACATTTAGGATGTGGAAAAGTGAATTTATACAATGCAAAATATATTTTTTATATTTAATCAAAGTATTTCTACTCACTCAAAGTGTTTGTCTTCTGTGTAATTGTGCCTTTCTTGTGTGTCGTGTTGAGAGTGCCAGTGAGAATTTGCTGTTTTATGTTTATATACGTTGGATTTTGAAGGGGTGGGGAAGGAAGTCGGTATAGAAAAGACATTTTTCAATAAGGCGTCGGCTTCTTTGAGGTGAAAAGAGCCGACGAAGGGAAACAATGTGTTGGTAATGGTTCGGCCAGATTATCCTTACGAAGAAAGTGAAATTGAGAGTGAGAGAGAGAGAGAGAGAGAGAGAGAGAGAGAGTGGAGAGTAGAGGAGATTGGGTGAGAGAGATGGGAGAGGAGAGGAGAGGGTGAGAGTGAATGGAGAGCAGCGGAGAGGAGAGGAAAAAGAAAAAGAGAGGAAAGGGAGTGAGAATGGAGAGTAGAGGGATAGTGGAGTGGAGTGGTGAGGAGAGGAGTGGGGAGAAGTGGGGAGGGAGTGAGAGAGTGGAGAGGAAAGGGGGTCAGAATGGAGAGGAGAGGAGAGGGAGAGTGAGAGGAGGGGAGAAGTGGAGAGAGAGGGAGTGAGTGGAGAGGAGAGGAATGGAAAGGAGAGGAGTGGAAAAGAGAGGAGGGAGAGAGTTGTGTGGAGAGGAGAGGAAAGGAGTGGTGAGGAGCAGAGAGTAGTGGTGTGAAGAGGACAGGAGAGGAAAGGAGTGGAGAGGGAGTGAGAGAGAGTGGAGAGGAGAGGAGAGAAGAAAGAGAGGAGTGTGGATAGGAGAGGAGAGCAGAGAGAGAGAGAGAGAGACCGAGAGTGAGAGAGAGCGACAAGTAGAGGTGAGGAAAGAAGAGGAACATGCATACAACATATTAAATACATTTAATACAATATAATATAAACATATATATACATATATATTATATTATGACTATAGTTACTATAGTTAGAAGAAACAATAAACAAAGAATATAACATGTATCTAAACCATTTTAAACTAAGCTATTCTCGATATATATAAAGAATAGCTTAGTTTAAAATGGTTTAGATACATGTTATATTCTTTGTTTATTGTTTCTTCTAACTATAGTAATTTTAACTGATTTTATAATCTTTTTTAAGCCGTGCGATGCGTGGAATCTCCAGTGGACGTGTAATGAGACGAAAAATTAAATTTAAGTAAATTATCCATTGGCAGGACTTCAAAAGGAAGGATTGAAACCCCCTTCGCCTTTTTCCTTCCGCCGTTTCGAACGGGAATGGGGCGAAATTAAATAATTTAATGAATACGCGAGAGCGCGGAACCAGTAAATTGCAATTTCAATGGTGGGTGGCGTCAAATTGAAACATGTCTCAATAATTGACAACGTTCCCGAGGGATAAACGCAATCGAAAAGGGCCGAGAATACCAAAACAATTTTGTACAATGGGGCTTGTAAATGAAATGGGTTGTCCCACGCTACCATTCTTCATGATCCCAACGTGTTTAATCGTGTGAATAACTCTAGTTTGCATACATTAAGTCCAAGTGGTCATGATGTTTCTGTTTCATTTTTACCCCGGCTTTGATAGCTAGCTTACAATGACTTCAACCGGCGTCATTGTCCGATTTTATAAATAGAATAATAAACTTTTCGGCAAAGTCCACAATGGAAATTTTCGTCTTTTGTGAGCTTATCGTCCAATAAAGCCGATCCGGTTGTTAAGTGGATTATCCACTACCACGTTTGTAACAAGATACATTTAATTACCCATCGATTTACGATGAGGGGTTGTTTCTACAAAGTTTACCACTTGTTTTAATGGCTTCCTTGGACTCTTTT